CGGGTGGCAGTATACGCTGTGAAGTTGTTTGCGGCCTGCCAGTAAACCCAAAGCAGAAGAAGGGACGTCAGCGGCTTCATTTGCCTAATCCTTCCCCAGGAACTTATTCCGGTGTGAACGCGATCTGTACTTAGTTCATGAAAACTAAAGACTTCTCATGAACTAAGTTCTCATGAATCTTTTGGGAAAAGTACTGCGGTGTGAATGCGCCTAATGTGGTCATTCGATCTGTCCATGAAGCGATCCCTTTTGAGTGCACTTATAATATAATTTACAGTTTGGATAGGACTAATAAGAGGCGTAAGCAATCTTCGGTTAGCAAAAAATCAAGTGGGTATGTTGGGTTCATTCCTATATGTTTTGATGGTCCTATGCTCCCAGGGTCCCAAGTTTTCAAAGGGTCTTATTTTCCCATAGTACTATGATCCCGGGCCCCTATATTTTTACATGTATAACCTATCTTTACTATACATACCAAATTATGTGTGTGCCATAAGAAACAACCCGAATATCAATGTGTAACGTCTTATGTGCAACTTTGAGGGTGAAAAAAGGGTAAACGACTAAGCAGCAGGTGGGTTATTTCAACATTTTGACCTGGAAACGAGCATTTAACATTTATTTAGGAAACTAACATTACTGTTTCTTAAACCCTAACACTCCATGGATGTATTAGTGTACGTTTTTTAAATGTATTTCCCTACAACACATTTTCTTAACCCTAACCCTACAGATTTATCCCTGTGATGCTTCTAAGCGAGAAGACATTTGGAAGAAATCAAAAAGGGGATTTTGATTGAAGAATACAACTTTTTTGATAACTGTTTGATTGCTGCTACAGCCTCATGTTAGCTGTATCTTTTATAGTGTAGGCATACTTCAATGTGCCAGGATGGACAGAGGAATGATTATGAACACTATTAACTCAACACAAACGTAAGTATTGCATTACGACTGACTTGAGGAAATCCAATCCTTTTCTATAGTCCAGTTAGCATGAACTAATGTAGGAGGATGTTTTTCTACAGATTCCTGATATATAAATATATATATAAAGAATCTTAAAAAAAAACTTAAACTGGCTAACCTCATCAAGTATGCTAAGACTTTCCCAATTGTAAAGCATTAGCATGGGCTGTAGAGACGGATGATTTGTCCTCTGTTCCTCTACAGTGTTTGATAAGATGACCATGAATGACCCAAGTCAATACAGTCCTTGGAGTGAAACCATTTTTGAAATATTGCAGAAACAGAAAACGCAGAGATGTTACAGACAACAGCTAAGAGTTCATTCACTTGAAGAAAAGAAACGTCTCCAATCTACAAGTATTGTCTTATTTGAGAAGAAGGTGCGCTGTCAAATCACATTCTTAGCCTTCAGACTGGAAAATTTGATGATGTTATTTGCCATGCACTTTATTGTTTTCGCCCCAGTAAGCCCAGACTGACTTCAAATTGATTAAGGACAAACACAAATCTATAAAAGCTCAACATGTCATACAAAAAGATGCATATAAGACATTTTTCTCTTTATTTTAGTTTTTTTCTTATGAAAGCTGCTTTGGTAACAACATGGTCACGACATCGCTCAATCTCCTTTACTCGGGTGCTGAAGGGGACTCCTTCCCTGTCATCTGAATGGCGTATTTTTTTTATGTCTCCCTTTTGCCTCTAAAATCTAAATGAATGGATCTAGTTACACCAGAGTGGGCTGTGTTTGCGTTCTGCCGAAGAGATGTCTCCACATCAGATGCACCGTCTGCTGGGAGCTGTTTGTCATAAAGATGTCCGCGCTGTGAAAGACAGTGCTATTGTACTCAGGGCTGATAGAGTGGAGACCTTGGATGCTGAGCCGACGGCGTTGGGGCCTGAAAAGGTATTGAAAAGAACGAGGCTGTTAAGTCTGACACAATTTATTTGGCATTTCATTCCTTTAAATCGGCAGCCTATCCAGCCTGCATTAGTAATTACGAGCTGAAAAGCCTAATTTCAGACGAACACTTGAGAGTCATTACTTGAGCAGCGGAATGAAACATTGAAAGTATTCTAAATAAATTGCTCAACTTTTCATGCAACGCTTGCTGTATGGTGTCACGTAGAGGCCATAATAACCCACATGTCTCACATGTAGCACATTACTTTCGCCACTCTTTCTGTTATTTTCGGAGGCGATGACAGCTAATGTGTTCTGGCCAGATAGCAGCAGGGGAGTATATTATGATGCTCAGCCACTAGGGAGGCACTAACTACTGTAGCTTCACTGACCTGGTATCCTTGGGATGGTGATCTGCCTGCTACTGCTGCCTTCCCCTCCCTCTCCAAAGGGCTTTATCTGGATGATATAATCCTCATCGGTGGGCAGGGCGAGCTCCACAGAGGTGGTGTTGGTTTCCATGACGTGGGGGCGGCTGTGTCTGTTCTTCTTGTACAGCACCTGACAACGAGAGGGGTCAAGAGTCAGGCACAGAAAGCAACAAACACAATTTTCTGATAAAACCAATAGACTGTGAGCTTACTTTGTAACCAGTGACCTCTGACTCATTCTCGAGGGCTTTGACTCGCTCCCAGTTCAATATAATCTTGGAGTTTGATGTGTTCCAACTCACTTTACCTGGTGGCTGACTAGGCGCTGAAAGCAGAAAAAACACATTATCTACCTCGATGAAAAGCTGAACAATGGCAGAAGGTTATAATTAGATCTGACACTTACGTGGTTTTTTGGTGGTAGCGTTGACGGTGGGGCTGGGAGGCCCTGTTCCAGCAGTGTTATACGCCCTCACTGAGATGTAATACGTGGTGCTGCTTTTTACCCCGCGGATAATGGTAGACGTTTGGTTTCCTACAGTCCTTAGCACACTAGTCGTGTCTTCCCTTTCACTTCTAGTCCAGTACCTCAGCTGAGAAGCAACAGGGCAGAACGGCAGACGTGAACACAGGCAGAGAAAAAATAGACACTTTAAAAGCTTTCTGTTACACCCTGTCAATGAAGTGCAATCCGGAAACAGGAAGATGTGAAGTCAACTGGACGGGAGATGGGAAACCTTTCTGAAAACAAGCTTTAGCAGCATGTCACATCGTGTGCCTTTTGCTCACGCGAGCTACAAGCCTCAGTTGTGCTCATCAGACATGTGTCATGCTTTGTGGTAAAAGTATATTCAAACAAGGGGTAAAAAAAAGAGAGGGAAAAACAAAGAATGAGAAGCAAAAAAACCTTGAAAGCCCCCTGCCCTCAACTTCCACTGATAACAGAGTTCCTTCGTCACCCCGCTTGTCAGGGCTGAAATAGCTGGCACGCTTGGCAGCACAAATATAATTTGTCTTTTCTCACAGGAACGGTTTGCTCAGGCCTTGCTCCTCCGTTGACTTTGAGTGGTCAACAATTCATAATTCTGGCACTGTATTCAATCCGTTGGATGAAAACAGAAGCTTTGTTCATGTCTTGGATTTCAATAATGAGCTGAATTAAAATGACAAGAACTAACTGAGCGCAAAGCCAGTGTCTGAAACTGCTTTGTTGTGTGGATTAGAAAGCTAAACGCTCTATCCCTTAGAGTATTGCATCAGTACGCTAATCAGGGTGGTTACAGTACTTAGGTAAACAACAAGAAGAACACAACTAAACCCACAGGCATGAGACTAGGCTGGACCATTATGCATGCAGCAAGCTATTATCTGCTATGCCCAGAGTGCATGAGCCTGAAACGCTCATCAATAATAAAGGAGAACAAGATTCAACAGCATTATTTGACATGTGCTTGCACACATTTACATCCGATGGGATCACACACACAAACAAGGTATTACTCGACAGCTCACCTCATAGCCCAGGACTCTTTTCTTGCTGGTGTTCCAGGGCAGAGCTTTCCACAAAACTTCAATCTCGGATGCTGAGAGGCTCTTGGCACGGACCCTGGTGGGAGCTCGGCCAGGCTCTGGAGTAAAAAGCACAAAGACTTCAAAATAACACTGAGCTTTGATGACCCGTCAAAGAAGGAACATCAAAACATTTTCAAAGTGATTTCTTCCATCAAGACAACAGAGGGAGGGAAGTAAGGCAAAGATGTCTGCAAGTGCTGATAGAAGAACGTTGGCTTCATGATCACTGCTGCTACTGTTCCAGACTCATAAATGACTCATTAATAAGGGCTAAGCAAGAAGAGCTATTCCCTCACAAGTTGTGCATGACATGAGATCATACACACCTTCTTCAGCTGAGTTGATCGTGGTAACAGGTCCGAAAGGCCCTTCCCCTTCATTGTTATAAACCCCAACCTTCACGTGGAAAGGCGAGAAGGGCTGGATGGTGTCGTTTTTGAAGATGTATTTGGATGCTTCGGCGGATGTTACGGCAGCCTGCATCCACCCGGTGGCACCGTGGGGTCGAAAAGCCACAACGTAGCCAAAACCCGGTCCATTTTGCTGCTCCTCTGGAACCGGCTGCGACAAAATAAATACACAGATTAAGCCAAAAAAAGGTAGTTCCTAAGAAATTCTGAATCTTAAAAAAATCTGAATTCATGACTTTCATCGGGCCAATTTCATTCTGTCTATGAACTGTCTTTATAACTCATGGGCTAAGTTTAAACATGTAATTAAGGTCACAACCCTAAGAGGAAAGACAAGGCTTTCCATTTTGAGTCAATGCTTGTAAAACATTGTATAAATATAATATTCTCTACACACAACAACTATTACTGGACATATCCATTACACAGCATGGTGCCTCTCAGCATGAAACCATAAACTCAGCTGTTGGCCAGACTGATAACATGCCTTAAATATTTATAGATTCAGACTTCACTCTACTGGATACTGGAATTCATTACTTATTTTTGTTTCAGCCCTGCCTGGTCTTTAAATCAACCCAATATGGCTAAACGGACTCTCCTAAGTGACTCTCAAACATTATTCATGACACTTTAATAAATGTGATTTACTTGTGGTGTCCCACAGGGGTCGATACTTGGACCCTTTTGTATTCCTCATTAATATTAATCACTTACTTAATCACTGCATCTCTGTGTATGTTTGCCTTTCTGCTGCTGATACTGATTTGCCACTTTCAAATGAACATGAATATCTTTCTTAACATGTTATTACATCTAATGTAGTGGTATTTGTCATTTTAATTATTTAGCATGCAGTAAGTAAGATAAACATTTATAGTATAAATATATACCATAGTTCAATTTTTTTGCAAAAGTGAATTAACAATTTACTACAAATGTATTTAACTATTCTTGACATATTACAATTTTGTATGGGCTGCATCCTATTCCATCTTCCTCAATTTGAAACTTTCTTTAGAAATTGTTGTGAGTTATGCTACAGATCCAACAGCTAGCAGCACTCTGCTGTCATTTGAATTGTTCTTATTTACTCATTTGTATATATAGATTATTTCTCTCTTATTAACTGACATAAGTATGTTTTTTGTTTGTATTTTTGTTGTAATGTGTTATCATTTGTTGACTTTCTAATGTCATGTAACATGTGCATCTAAACTAAACTAAACTTTAAGAATTTCAGGGCCGGGACAACATTGTTGCTTTGTTAAGCAGAAATAAGGCTTTAAAATAACTCTTGCATAATAAAACACCAACACAGATTCTGTCAAACGTCTCACAGCGGGTACTAATGATTTTTAGCAGCCTGAATTAAATATATAAGCCTTTGGAGCTGGACTGATATGCAGGAGCTTTGTAGGGAAAGAAAGAAGGAAAGAAAGATAGAAAGAAAGAAAGATAGATAGAGAGGAAGGGAAAACTATTTGAAAGAAAGTTGGGGTTTCGACGGAGCCATTGAGTTTAATTATCTTATCGAAACCTCAAAAGAAATTTTCTCTCCCCTAGGGTGACAGAAGCAGTTATTGCCTCTCTGTTCTTAAAAATGAAATGCCATACATTAATCTATCCAGCTGTTATTAATGAAACAGAGGCCCAGATCCAAAAAGAATAATGGCGTCTGGCTCTCTCCTCCATGGGTGAAGGGGTCCTGAGCAAGCCTGCTTACCTCCCATGTGATGACTAATTCGGAGCGACTGCCACCGCCTCCACTCACATTAGCTGGTGTGACCTTCGGAGCTGGAGAAAGAAGACGGATCAGCTTAGCCTTGTTGACTTCACACAACGCTGAGAATGCACAAGTAATCTTTTTCCTTGTTGCTACTCCCAAATGGCAGAGAGGTAACTTTGTTTTGTTGATATTTGAACTTCTACATTCAGAAATCCTTAAAGATGTCAGCAAGCTTCTCAAAGCTGAGTCATGTTTGCCGACATTTCTCGACTGTGATGTTTTTTTAACCAAAAGACTATTGAGGGTCGAGACAGAAAAACAAGCAAAGGATATAACCTCTCTGCAGCTTTATCTGGGTACATTACTGATTGCCTTTTTATTTTAATTGTTTCAGTTTCAATATAATTTCAGTTTTCAACACCAAATCTGCGTTGCAAAGTATATCGAAAATATTTAAAGGTTTTGTTTGCCAAGAGTTTGATGATAAGATTGATACAACTTTATAAAAGTACATTAAAAAGCTACAGCTAGTAGACTGTAGTCTGGGTGAAATAGCTCTGTCCAGAGCCAATCTTTGGATTCATCTGCTATTAGTCTTGAAATCAAATATGTCTGAGGTTCTGGTGTAGCCAACGGATATCCAGATAACTATGCGAGACTTCCTCTTCTGTGTGCTGGTTAATGTTCAAACGCTAATGAAATTAGAGCTGACAGAATATGACCACGACCGGATTGTATATTTTCATTTGAATGCAGATATCGGATCATAGAAATTAGTTGAAAATAAACTAAATCTGCCTACCAGCACTAAAGCTAACCAATTTATGTATGCTTTTATTTGTTTAATCCAAACTGAAGTTGAAAAATACAAGTTTTAGTTTTGTGAATTAAGTTTTAGTAATGACTAAAACAGAAAATAAACTGTTGAGCTTTAGAGGTGCTGCTTTTAGCCTTCACGCTAAGCTAAGGTAAACTAAACTAAGCTAGCATACCATGGATGTATCCTCCTACTTAACAGGACAGACCAGAGGTCGATCTTCTCATTAGACTCTTGGCAAGAAAACGTTATCAATATTACTAAGAAATAAAAATTGCCATCGGTTTGAAATAAAAAAAAAACAGTCCAACACGAGTTATATAAGTTTTAGATTTAGTTTTAGATGTGATTTAGTTCTAGATGTGAATTTTTTGTAATTACTTAAACATAAAATGAACTGTTGAGCTTTAGAGGTGCTGTTATTAGCCTTAACGCTAAGCTAGGGTAAACTAAGCTAAACTAACATATCCTGGATGTATGTTAACATTGTCAATATTACAAACAAATTTAATCGCAATGGGTTTCAAAATAAAAAAGACAGACTAACATGAGATATACATGTTTAAAGAGGCATAAGGAAAGTGGATTTTATTCTCATGCAGTACATACAGGTCCCCTTCGTCCTTGCTTGTTTGGAGGGCTTGCTGGGCTCCCCAGTGCCGATGGTGTTGCCCGCCAGGACTCGATACTCATACTCCACCCAAGGGCTCAGGTCTATAACTGTAGCTGTCAGCCGGTGGCCCCCCACCACCTCAGGAACTGGCATAAAACAAACATTGCCTCCCTTTCAGTTTCAAAATAATGTGTGTGTTTTTTCTGTGTGTCTGTGTGTGTGTGTCAGCTTAGCATCAGCAGTAGAATGTCCTCCGGGCTGACAAACCTGGTAGGACTTCACTACAGGTACACGAGACAGGTGTAATCCCTCACAAGGACACATAATACACACACTAAGAAACACAAACAACAATGACAAAGATTCACAAAAAAAATACAATCACTGTTGACTTTCTTATTTGGAGATCATTCTTTAGCCCTTTCTCTATTGTAAAAGGTGCGTAGGTTGCTGGAATAATAGCAAAACACATTCTTGCTAAAACAACAGGAAAAATAAATGATTTTTATAAGAAATGACAAGAAGTCAATTTTCTCTGTCTACCTGCAAGGTCATCATGTAGTTCTGTTTCAAATATATTATCCTGATGTGGTAAATCAATGAGGCCAGTAAACCTATCTTAGAACAAAGTGTCCTTAATTCACAAAAATAGCAATAAAAAAGGTATACAGTCTGGCATAAATGCACATTATACCGATAATGCATGAATCCTGAGCCCCATTAAAGGGCTATGTGGGGAGGAATCAAATCTTTGCTATCACTTAAGTACACTATCAAATAACAGCCTCTGCAACAAGCTCCATCATTATGATGAGATCCACGTTTTCTCTGTATTCCCAGGAGTGCGATAAAATGGCGGTCAATTGTCGTCCTATAATTGTGTAACATTTGGGGTCTGAGGTAAAATTACATCTCTAATATTCTCACAGGCGAGGCAGAATGAAGAGCGGCCCCCTCCGTGTGATTGGAGGCGGCCACGGCTGGTTGGAGAGAGCTTACCTGTGGTGACAGCCTGCCACCCGAGGGAAAATGGTGTCCTGGCCTGGATGGTGTATGCCGTAATTGGACTGTGATTATCGGGACCAGGCCTCCAGGACAGAGAGGCTGTGGTATCAGTGATTTCTTCTACTTGGATGCTGGTAGGCGGCCCCGGGGGACCTGATAGATGGTATAGCCAGGCAGGGGGGAGGAAGAGGAAGAGAGAGATAGAGAGGCAGACGGAGAAGAGAGGAAGACGAGTGATGGGGAGGAAATTTAAATCAGGGAGAAATGGGAAGATGGCAGAGAGAGTCACGGTGGTTTTAACACCTGCAGCTATTACAGACAAGTCATTGAAACCTATGGGAGCCATTTGGTGTAATTAAACAATACATTTCATTTTAACCTTGAAGAGAGATTGCCTTTTTTATTCTGTCTTGGTATTTCTTTATAACTGAGGCACAACCAGTCACAGTACATATTAATCAATATCAAACTCTAGGCTTGTCACAACAACCACTTTTCCGGTAATAATTGCGAAAATCGATATTCTTGATATTTGATACATAATGCAAGAAGAATTTTTTTAAAAAGCGATGAATATTATTTTTTGAACAACATTCAGATATTTTAATGTAAAAACAAAAATAAATATCCTTCACTAATTAAATATAAATTTAATAAAACCACTTAACTATACCAATGAATGTAATGGATTGTTAGCAAAAATGCACATTGAGGCAAAGTCTATTATTTATAGATGGAACGAAAACCCGTAGCTTATTGGGGCAACATGTTGGTTGCATTTTATGTAAATAAACACACGCTAAACAAATATGATGTCCATATATTGTACTTTAAATAGCTAACGTAAAGGTCATGTCCATGTATAATAATTTGATAACTTGGCCTAACAAAGTCCTTCCTTCTTCTGCACTAGATGAAATGTACGTCATTAAAGTGTTTTAAACATTGACAATCTGGTCTTTTTTCTTTTTAAATGTAAGTGTGGTGAAAGCAAATAATGAGTGTTGTGGCTCACCTCTGACTACCAAGTCAACAGCGATGGAAATGCTGTCCACCTTGGTTTGCACAGCGCACGTGTACTTTCCCGCATGCCTCAGCTGGATGTTTCGGATCATAATGTCTCCTGCCGAATGTTGCTGTCATTCAAAACATGCACAAAAACACACACACACACACACACACGGTTTCGTAAGCAAAATGGTAAGCATTTTTTGCAATTGAAATACACTACTGACTTTTCCAGCCCTTTGGGAGCAGAACCAGCTGAACAGAAATCTCATGTATATGTATCTTGAAAAATAAATCCATAATTCCCTGTGCAACCTTTTTCCATCCATTTTCTGAAAAGGCACCCAGAGATACCTCTCGATATTGAGCGTAATGCATGCTTTTATTTCAGCACTATAATCAAACGAATATAATAGCTTGATGTCGGTACAGTATGGAGCCGTTTCATCTAAGGAGCCGTCTAATGACTGGTCTCCTAGTTGGTTCTTTCGGGGAGCTTTTCCTACCATCTCTAATTGCAATCCCCACTTCTACATTATCATTTCATCAGAGCAGAGCCGGTTGCTTAATACATTGGACATGCGAGAAGCTTTGGCACAATGGCAGTTAGAATTCTGCGGAGTGGTTGCTAGCTTAATCAATGTAAGTGCAGATGAACAGCAATTTATTAGAGAGCGGAGACTGTAAATTATGGCATAAGAAGCACCTTAACTCGGGATGAAACGGAAAAGAAAGCTGGTTTTTTTTCCCTCTACTCCTGCAGTTTTTGAAGGAGCCTTGAATTTTTTTTT